GATTTGAAATCAGTCAAGATGTGACTGACGTGCACGCACGCCTGCTCCTAGAGTGTGGTCTTGATCTGGTTAGATGCTGTGAGCTGTTTTTCTTAACCATAGAAATAATTCTGTCATCATGCACTCCAGTTGTCCTCTCAGGTTTTTCAGGCCTGTCGGGAGCTGCTGACTTGATCACTGCATTTATACTTCTTAAGAATGTTGTTTCGGCCATTCCTAATTATTTTATTATCGCTCTTATTTATTTGGGTTTTTCAACCTAACTTGCAATGACATCTCTTATGAGCCTCATGTTTTAAAAATAACAATAAAAACTATAAAATAAAACTTCTACACTTTGAATCAACCTCAGACATTATGTTTAATTTGTCCTTTGACTTAAAAATGACTGTACAGAAGCAAAACTACAAAAACAGTGTCTCTGTCCAACAAATTGAGGATCAAACTGTTTCAAGAAACCTAGCAGGGCTCTTAAAAGGACACATCACCTCCAAATCAAATACAGGAGTTTGTGTGAGAATTGCCTTCGTTCTACCGCATTGCACTCACCACCCACATCAAACGTAGAGTCTGGCTGCTTTGAGCACCAGGAGCATACTCTGTAGCTTCCTTTTATTCAAGCAGACAAACATCTTCAAAACTGGGCAACTTATCCAAGAACAATGATTGATAAATACGGACTCGCACATTTGATTCTGGGGTGAACTGTCAACTTGAAATTGAGTTTGAGCCACAGACAAGAGAAGATAAAAGCAGCACGCTCGTAATCATGATACGGTTTTCGAACCGTGACCGACATGTGTGACAATAAACAATAGCAAGGGAAAAAATGAGCAAGGCAAAGCAAATGTATACTCTGGTATCTTTATTGATTGATGTAGTGTCAGGAATAATTCAATCATTCAACACTTTTGCACCTGCTTGGGTTTTTCTGTCTTAAATTCCCTCCTCTTTATATTATACTCGGTTTTTTTATCAGAGCAAATCGCCAGCTGGAATGTCGTGCAGCCTCATTTAATATTTTTCTTTATTTGAAAGTTAAAATCAGAAAATAGTCGCTGAAAGAGGGAGGGATGTTTAGCCACATCAGAACTGCTAGTGCATCGGTGTCACAGATCAAAGGTGAGATACTTGAATGCTGGATATTTCGTACATATAAACCTGTTATCAAAGAGAAAGGAAACCACTGGCTAAATAAGGCCACGAAAACAATTTTCACACCAAACCGAACGGAATATAATGCACGTCACACACGCACACGCAAGCTGCTGTCGGTTATCTGCCAACACGCTGACCCCGTTATCTACAGGTGTATCAACAGCGCTTTTGGTTTCACCTCGAAAACCACGGTTCCACTTTCCCGGTTACATCAACATATATACAGTTGCGCCAACATAGAAAAGCATGCTTTTGCATATTAGAAGGTTGTTCGGTAAACTTTACACTAAATCCATAACATTTATTAGTACAGCATTGTTCCAACCAGCAGCAGTGATTAAGACTAACAAATATAGTCTGAGGAAACAGGCTATTATAATTCGCTTTTATTACAGATCTTGTACAGTATTAACATGCCTTACGATGCAGTATTACTATCATCTTCTCTCCTTATTTGATTTTTTTGTGTGTGAAAAAACTCCCCGAAATAAACCCAAAACAAAAAAATGCAACAGTCTGATCTAATTAGCTAATTAAGGAAAAAATAACTCAACAAAATAAAGAAACACTCCATTAAAAAAAACAGACGACACCTTCTATACAATAACAGTGAGTCTAGAGTAATTTTGTGCAACATGAAAAAGTGAGACGCGC